ACAGGTCTGATTCATCAGGATAGAAAGATCTGTCCTGGTTTGGATGGCTCATCCTCCAGTGGTAGACAGCTAAAAGACTACAGATTGAGAACTCTTTTTCACGCCTTTTGTACACAACTCTGATAGCAGGCTTCCCTCTACTGGACAGAAAAGGAAGAAAAAACCAAGTATGGTTAAAAAGGACCACACTACTTCCTACATGGGTGTCCTATTTTGTTTGTGATTCAGGAATCTAGCACCACAGGCAAAGTGGATAAAATCATAAGACAGATCTTCATGACATCCTTCTGTTTTGCTAGATCTTGAAAAGTGTGACACTGAGAGATGGCTCACCATGAGCAGCCTGAACTGGATTCTGTGTCTTTTTATAGTAAGTTGCCTTTTTATAATAGGCTCTATGGGTTTTTTTAAAAGGAATAACACACGTCTTATGAAAAATCTGAGTCAGAAAAGCCCTGGAGGAATTTAAATTTATCCAGTTCACAAATGCACACACACACACACACACACACACACACACACACACACAGGCACAAATCAGTTCAACTCATGGATACCAGTTGCCTAACTACCTGATATTATGCCCTTTCATTGCTAAACCATGCTACAGATACAAACATGGGAACTATTTGGCCTTAACCTATATTTGCAGCACCAAAACATCTGTTTTGCTCCTAACACATAACAAGGTCAACTTCCCTTTGCTGTGACATGGTGTCCTAAAGGCCAAAGTAAATCATAGCACATTTCTGACCCAGAGTCATAATATGTACTAGTTCCAAAGGAAACTGAGAAATAAGCATCTATTTCTGACTTTAATTTATTGAACTCTTTAATCTTAACTATTCTACTTTTTTAAAAATTGTGGCATTATGTACATCTATTTTCCCCCATTTCCAAGGCAGAATAAAATATAGAATTAAATATAAACTCAACTAAGTTAAAAAGAATTCATCTTCTTATATCCTTAACAAACAGAAATCATAGCAAGAATTTTATCAAAATAACCAAATGGTATGTAAACAGCCATGATATGCTAGATACTATTTAGCTTCATTGAAATAGATCTCACGCCTGGCCTTGAAGTTTTAAGCCAGACAGTGCTGAAGATAGGTTGCATTCAGAGAAACAGTAATAATCTGGATATTGTTAGAAACAACCTACCACCAATTAATAACAAAGTTAGACAGGTTACCCATTTCATTCATTTTCCCCTGGCTTTATGATAATTGTGCTTTGCCAAAATCCTCACAAAAAATTTCCATTGATGAAAATTATATCACTTCAAACACATTAATAAAGGTTTTCATTTGTTAAAAATGAGCTATTCAAAGGTGGAGGCATGTGCCAGAAACCTTAGTAAACCAAATTCAGTTTCTGGAAAAAATTGAGACTTTTCTAAAACAATTATGCATCCAATTATTAAATCTGCTAACTAGATCTATTAAAAAATCAAGTAATGTCGCTCGCAAAACCACCCATCTGCTAAAGGACAACTGCTTGCAATGACTAAGACAGGCACAGGGCATGAAGAACTATACTATTCTGGGACAGGGGAAGCTTACCCCGTAATGGAGCTTCTTACTCACAGAAGGAGAAATGAGGAGACAGTGTAGATCAGAGCAATAAGGTAGACCAGAAGCCCAAAGCTAAGTTTGTAATTCATTTCCTCTTTAAAGAATAGAAATCATTACAGTAAATGCCCAGCCATAACACGATCAAACTTCAGTACACCAAAGAGTTGCATGGAGGATGGTTGTCTCTAGCTTGTACTTGCCTCTTGTACAGGAGTTCATGATGGACACCACTCCCCACCTCAGGGCTGCAGGCACACGGGTAGGTAACATGTGTCTGTCTTGAAGGCTTCTATATTCCTGTAGGTCTGACAGTCACAGGACAGACTGGTTTTTTTCTTTTTCTTTTTCTTTTTTTTTTTTTTTTTTCTTCAGAATAGTGGTTTCTAGTTAGAATCCTAAGGCCTAGGCCTCCATATACATGAAGAGAGTATTTTTGGACCTGGTCATTCTGTCACTTGATTTTAAAAAAGGCATAGCAAGTGAATGGAGGTAGAGAAATCTGCCTCTCCTGCATTTAGAAACAGTCTCTACCAATGCATTCATTTACAATAATATTTGGAGAGAATGAGGCAAATCTCTTTTTTTCTTCCATCTTTATGGAATGTTTATTTCTCTGACAGAAGAGTTTTAGCAATGCTTGAGAGAAACAGCCTTGGTGGTGAGAAGTGATAGGCACCCCCAGAGTGAAGTTCTGAGGCACAGTGGAGCCGGACTCAGCTGGATCTGGGTCCCCCAGGAATGAGTGGTGCCCCAGGAGATTCTGTTTGGACCCAAGCACTATACCTCATCCTATCTCTTTCTCTCTTCCTCACATACTTTTCCTCTAAAATGAGCAAATATTGACAGCCACGAGGAAGAGGGCCACAGTTCCCCTCTCAGGGGCCACTTCACAGCTTTCTGAAGACTTCTAAAAGCCTAGGCAGATGAGGAGATAATGGCAATGGTGAGCAACAACTATTTCCCATGACAGCATTCCCGTTGATGAGGATTCTATATCTCCTAAGCAAAGAGATTAATTACATTAACAAAGGCTTTCATTTGTTAAAAACCAAGCCATCCAAAGGGAAAGGCATATGGAAGAAAAATCTCTTTAACAGTCATCCATCTTGGGGCCAGGGATTTAGTTCAGCAACATAAGCACCTGACTGGCAAGTGCAAGGTCATGAGTTTGATCCCTGGTACCAAAAAACATTTCTATCTCCTTAAAATTTGACAATGATAATAAAAAGATTAATTGATAAGTCCTTTTGGTAGAAATTCACTTAAATTCATGAAATGAATAGGTCACATTTAACCAATCTAGTATATTGGTCACTTTCATGATCAATGTAGATGAAATCTCATTTTAGTTAGACTATTTAGTTGGGGTTTTTTTCAGAATAGTGGTTTCTAGTCAGAATCATATGAACCACACTTTAATTAATCTGTTCCACACCAAACTACCTCATGGCAACTAGCACATATTACATACTTAGTATGTGTCAGCCACCACCTGACACTGTACATGTATTATCACATTCAGTCCTAAGGGTAGCCTTACAAAGAGGGTTCTTGGTTAGCAGTTTGTAGATGGGGAAATAAAGAACATAGCCAAGGTGGCCTATCAGGTAGGCCAGATCCACAAGATCTCTTTCAACCCCAGATAACACTGACCTTGTAACCACTGTGATGTACTTCATGTGAAACACAGAATCAAGTCATCAATGCATATACATCCATATAATGTATATATGATCAATCACACCTGAATGTTTAGATATACTCAGATACTCAGAGCTGTGACACTTAAGAAATGCACATGTACATCTCTAAAATTTTAAAAGGAGTGGACAGTTGATCTCGGCATCTAGAAAGCAGCCAGTATAAATCTGGTCCATTCGGCTTTATTAACCTATATGTGCAATAATAAAAATTAAAGGAGCTGAATGTCTTTGCTACAATCCTTAGCTGCATTTCTCTTCATAATCTATAACACTATGTATGTTAACAAAAGGGTCTTAATTTCTCTCACCAATCTTTGACAAACCTTGCCTTGGAAGTCTCATTCAGTATTTCTGGTGTCTGATTTAATACCAAAAACCATCCCAACACAATATATCTCTTTATAGAACAAGACTAAGAAAAAGAGGCAGGCGTGAGTGTGTTTTCATGTTCTGGTAGTGCAGATGCGAGTTTAATCAGACATAAAGTTTTCACTCCATTTGCTGAAATGTACTGTGTCAGTGAGGCCATCTCTTTCTCTGTGACAAGGATGATATTAATTTCTCATGAGTCACGTGTGAAGTGACCAGGGGAAGAAATACAATCAATCCATCCAGAACCTGGATCTGAAAGGTACCCGCTAATGGAATGGAAATACCACAGAATCTGCTTAGTGCTAAGGTCTTGACAACATCTATTCTGCTTGGCACTGAGAAGAATTTTTTAAAAGAGAAGAAAGGGGAGAAGGATAAAGTGGAAATTTAATTTTGAGAAATAAGGATTAAAGGTTCCATTATTCGTGCTGTTTTCGCTGTATATACTGAGTTAACAACATGTGATTTTACTGGATGAAAATGTGGGCTTCATGCAAGGTGAGTGTGGTGCAGATAAATCCCCACAGCGACAGTAATGAGTGAGGTTTAGTGTCTGGTCGGCACGAGGCTGTAAACAGTCCTGGGTTTTGAGCTGGTATAATAAGTGGAGATTGTTCCTGGACTTACTGGGGAGCACAGATAGTTTCTGCCACATGAAAAGCAACCCCCCTTGAGGCAGACAGGCACAGCCCTGCTACCTTCCTGCTTATCCTGTTGTAATGTGTGAATTGTGGGCCCCGAAGTGTGAACTCCTGGCAGGGGGGCAGGGCTGCAAGCTCCTCAGAGTTGGCTGACTGTCTTCTTTTATTTATTTATTTAGTCTTTCTACATACTGTTTTGTCAATACTTGAGAGGTAAGTGTTTCTCCTTCTTACTCAACCCATTCCCACCCCCAGGGTGAGGGGTCACGAGAAGAAAAACCACTTAACAAGTTAAGTAAAGGGAACTCTGAGAAGCTCAAGTGTGAATCAATCCAGTATGAAGGGGAAAGAAGAAGGAAAACAGGTTAAAAACCTGATTTCTGAGCCCTGTAATGAATCCAAATCTGTGCAACCTGTACTGAACCCTAAGATCAGATGGCTAACGACAAGTCATGTACAGGGGGAGGATGGCAGCAGGTCAAAATGCTCTGTCAGGCTAAAGAACAAAAGGACTTAACCTCAATATTGTATAGTGCCTGGAATTAAGAAGAAAAAGGAAAGGAACTTTATATTTTCAAAACTGATCCTGGATATAAGTTGCATACATTGCTAAACTAATTAAGTGTCTTTTGACTACCTAATATTAACCATTGAAAAGCGCGCACATCAGCATTAGGGTGAAGATTGGATCAGGCAAGAATCATCAATGGATTTTAAAATAGGAAAAATTTAATGCAGAGTAAAATATCCATGTGGTCTTAAAGTGTCTTTCACATACTATTTATTAATTGCAAGAAAAAATTACTTATACACTGGAAAGTTCAGGCAACATCCTGACCAGATGATCAAAATTAACATCATCTGCGAGAGGAGATGCATTTGCCTTTGGTTAAGCAAACAGGATCCGGCTATTGAGCATGCTGGAAAAAAATGGGCATTCAAGTTAGCCAGAAACTAATCATGAGAGGGCCCTGACAGGAGGAAAAATGTTTTATTAGGAAAAAGATAAGGGCCTGTATTCTGCAAAAATACCAATGTCAAAAAAGATGGGTATGAAAGTGCTCCACAATAAAGGAGGCTGCAGATATAACAACTCATTGCAACGTGTGACTCAGACTGGATTCTCTATTTTAAGAGGAAAATGCCATGCAGGCCACTGCTGGGACAATTACCAAAATTAAAACACGGATCCTAACCTAGACAAAAGGACACAATTGTTAAATTTCCTGAAGCTGAAACTGTACTGGGATTATATAAGAAAATATAATGGTCTGCTCACAAATACTTACGGACAAAATGCAGTACTATGTGTAAATTACCTTTAAATGGTTCAGGAAATAGTGTGAGTATATATGCATATATATAACATTATAGAAAAAGATATATGTACATATGGAGAAGGATTACAAAGAAAACAAATGGAACAGAGTTGTAACAATAGGCAAACATAGTGCAGACTTTGGCATGTTCTTTATATTATTCTACTTTCTGCAAGTTTTCTGTAAATTTGAAATATTTTCAAGTAAGAGGTTTCTTTCAAGAATTTTAAGTTTTCAGCTTGATACGACATCTTCCGTGCTTCATTTGAATAGAGAACATGACACAGAAATGCACTGGAAAATTTTACCCAGTTACTTTGAGTATATCAGTGTACTAGATCCAGCAGATCCTGTTGGATCCCTCACCAATAAAGTAGTTGTAAATGACAGTCACGTACTATATTGACAAAGTTGCATGCATAAAAAAAAACAAATAAAACCTCTTTCTACCTCTCAGAGCCATGTTCACTTCATGGAATTCTAAAGAAATTTTATATTTGGAAATTTCCAATTATGGTTATACATGACATATATTAATATTCCAACCCCAAAATAAGCTATATAGATATACTACATTCTAAAACAATTCGGTGTAAGACAGTGAAACATATATATATACCAGTATATATTATATTCAAGTATATATTATATTCAATTACATAATATATTATATATATATATATATATACACAGTAATATCTCAGTTCATGAACACTTCTGTTCACAAACAATTTGATTCCCAAACAGAACAGTTTAGTAAAATTTTGCTTCCCCCATTAATGAATTCTGCCTTGGATGCCAACACCACCATGAACTTCTTCCCCAGAATCAGAGGACGAATTCAGTTTGTGAGCCGAGATTCCGCTGTATCAGTGTAAGCTGTATTGCTATTGTCCTTTTACTTAACCAGCAACGTGTTTAACTCCTCCGCACTGATATTCCATCAAAAGCCAAGCTGCTGGTCACTTGGTTTCAACTCTTATGAGGCCTGAATGGCAGTCTTTCCTCTCTGTCTTTTTAACCTCTTTCTGATCCTGGTTTGATGAAATTGCCACCATTCTCTTGGAAAACACCCTCTCCTTGCCAAAATGGCAGCTTTTCTTTTCCAGCTGTGCGTCAGTTGTTTAGAATGGTGGAACCAGGTTAATCTACTGCACAGACACATTCAGGGGCGACTGGGGTGCTGGAAGGAAGAACAGTGTGCAAAGATTAGCTGTAGAGGGTGCAGCTGAGGTGCCGGATTGAAGTCCTCCTCTTTGGTCCTGAACCTCAACTATCCACTCAGACCTGTGAGAGCTGGCTCTGTACTTCACTTAGTGGCCCAGTCACTTTCCACGTGGCCTATCAGCCACCTAGCTGCCACTTCTCAGTAAGCAAATTTCTAACAGCCAAGCTCAGTTCACCCCTCCGAAACCTCGCTTCTTCTCAAGATCTCAGTAATCTCTAATCCTTGCTGAGTCCCTGGTTTTTCAATGCCTTTAGATAAATGGTTTAACACTGGTCCATTATTCTCACCAGGTGACTGGGCCAAAATTAATAGTCTACTATTGCTGCATGTATCAATATTATAACTAAGTGGACAAAGGAATACGTAAAGCTTGACCAGAGAGAAACTTTCATCAAGCATTGCAAGTTATGAAAACAAATATTAGAAAGATATAGGTTTTATAGACATATAAAGAACTGAAATACAGAAAGAACTGAATGTACTTATTCTACAAGATATGATGTATAATGGTTGACTGATCATGTCAACCTGAGAAGTTTAGAAGCTTGCCTGAACTGGCTCAGCAGCTCCACACCCCAGGGTGTGGATGGCCGACCCTAGGACAGCTCCTCGCCTGAACGGTATAAGAGGGAGATGCACAAGGACACCCTGGCTTCTGTTCTTCAGAGGAGCTCTTGTTTTGCCTTCAGCTTGGATGTCGTCTCCTGGCTTCTATCACATACTCTTAAGCTCTTACCTTGGATCATTCAGTCTTCCTGTGTAGACTCTTCAGACTTTCACTGCATACCCATCAGCCTCCTGCAACAGACTTGCACGGGACACTGCAGGGAGCTCCAGACTCTGGACTGAACCCTTCAGCCTCCAGTGGCAGACATGCTTCCTCATCCAGCTCTGTGCATGACCACTGTTAGCCAATCTTGTAATTTCTTACACATTTATATGTTTCTCTAATAAAACACTGACTGATACAATATGATAAAGTAAAAACAAATTTACATCTGTTACTGTAAAAGACACATTGTCACTAATCTCCATCTTAGTTACTTTCTTGTTAAGACACAGTGCCCAATACTCACCATTTAAAGGAGAAAAGGTTTATTTTGGCTCAACTGTTTGGTAGAGGTTTCAGACCACAGTCAGCAGGCTCCAAGGCAGGGCAACATGGCACAGGGAGATGGCAGAGGAGAAACAGATTGACAGACAGGAAGCAGTGAGCCATTCAGGGAGGAGAAAGAGAGATACACACCCTTCCGGGCCACACCCCCAGCAGCACACCAGGTGCTCCCTCCTACTTCACACCTAGCCATAAACCCACCAATTGGCTAATCCAGTGTCATCCACACGCATGATCCATGGGTACCTGCAACTTTGGGGGAACATCTAGATATAAACCCTACAACCCCCCTCAAAACACCCCCTCACAAACTGAAGCTTTGATCCCCTGTGCAGCAACATGCAGAGGACGGGACTAGAGAACCAGACTGGATGTTAGCATCATCAATGGATTAAGTGGCACCACAGCTGGAGGAACTGGAGCATGTCTTTGAAGGGTGCATCTCTTCTGAGACTTTCTTCACTCTCGTGATTCTTGGCTTTCATGAGCTGAACAGTCATCCTCTGCTGTGCCCTTCTGTCATGCTTCTGCTTTCAAGTCAACTGACCATAGCCTGACACCTCTGAGACTCTGGGCCAAAATAAACCTTTTCTCTTTTCAGTTGTATACATCAGGTATTTTGCCCCAGCAATGGAAGAATGATTCAGTGAGTTAAAGTAGTTTTTCCCAGCTGTACAACATGAATAATATAGCCGGAGATACTTCCTAGCCTAGGGGCCATATGATAACATTTACTGAGCACTTACTGCATGCTAGGTACCATAGAAGTACTTCACATTTATTCCTTATTACATCACTTGAAGTGGAGACCATTATTACCTCCATCTTACAGAGGAGGAAATGTGGGGGGGGGGGAATTTGCCCAAAAAACACACAATTATTAAGTACTATAACTAGGATACAAAGCCTGGCAGTCAAAAGGTGTCAGATAGAGCTTTGCATATGCACAGAACTCTGTAAAATTGGCCAATATATGTCTGGGTATCCTGGAATCAAAGCAGTGGAGATGGTTACAACTCACTGCTCTTTTATTTTAGTTTATTATTACATGTGTGCAGTACATAATGTTTGCATTCCTGAGTGGAGTTGGTCCATATATATATATATAACACACCCAACTCCTGAAACTTACTTCTGGTAAAGGTGAAATGCCATGTATTTTGGACTCTGCCAGGTTCCTTCCCTGTTTCCAGCATTTGGTGACCCTTGCTATCAGTTCCCAGCCTCTGGCCTTTGCCAATCTCTTCCACTCCCCAGAATATGAAAGGTGCTGACATTTGACTCCTTCCTTGTACCAGTGCTGGGACTGGCACTGCACACCTGTCCCTAATTTGGCCATCACGACCACCCATGAGGTTGGCTTTATCATACCTATTTAATCATCAAGGAATCAAGGACCTGAACCATTCAGCAACCTCTTTTGTCTACCCAGAGCCTAATTTTTTTCACTTATTTGTATGATTCCAGTCCTTACCTGAAAGATAAAATTTGTAGGTGATAGTCTACCAAGAAGCACTTCTGGGATGCTCTAAAATCAGTATCTCAAAAAATAAATAAATAAACAGAAACAAAAACAAACAAAAAAAGAGGTAGAGTCCTGAACTAGAAATAAACCCTTACCAGGGAAACTTCTTTAAGAGTTTTTTTCCTAGATGAAAATCTTCTTTAGAAATAATGAATACCCTAGAGTTCTTAAAAGTTTAACCTATAAACAATGGGAAAACCAACATTGCTATAAAACATGACACAACATACTGAATAAAATAATACAGCTCTAAAGAGTGTGGCACCTGAATTGCCCTGTGTACAGGGAAGGAGACTCTCTTCCTTCCCTTTACCCAGAGTGACCCAGAAAAGGGATGTCCATGTCCACATCACGTATGAGGGCAGCAGCTAACATTGGTTCACAGCTGAGAAATACTGGGGCTCTCCCCGTGGGAGGTTAAGAGAAGCCCAAATAAATGTTAAAGAAATGGGAATTAAACTCTTTCTGTTCATGCCTGGTTATAATGAATAATGTCTGGGGACTGTTTGACAGAGAAAGTAAAATCTGCATTTCATGTTTTAGTGAAAAGAATTCTAATTTTCAGTCACGATAAGGAGGACTCGGGCTGGCTCTGTTGCTTCCTCACACGTCTAGTGTGGCCTTGAACAATCTGCTTAAACTATCTGTGGTTCATTGGAATTACTCTCTCTGTCTCTCCTGAGAATGCTATGGGAACGCAGGCAAAAAGACCTGGGCACCATATAGCTCCCCGACTTTCCTATGCTAACCTGTTAGGATAGGGACCAGTGGGCCCTAAGGCAGTAGGTCTGCCTTTACTAGAGTAGTTCTGAAACTTAACTATGCAAAAAGTCAGGAGGACACGTGTCCTTATTCTGATGCTGTGCATCAACAGTATGACTATAGGCCAGATTCCCCAGGCCCCACTTCGAGGAAGAACAACCAAGGTCTCTTTAACAGTACCGCTGTGGAGGCCAGAATCACACTGGCATTGTACTTCTCTAGATTAAACTCATGAATCCACTCTTTCCCCCTTGTCTGTCTGTTTGCATGGTCAGGCTGCCCCGCAGTCCCAGGTTGCTCCACTCAGGAGTGTTCCTTGTGACATTCGGACACACAGAATGTACTGCCAGTTCCAAGCACACTCCCTGGCTGGTCAGATTTATGGCATCATCAGCTGCTTCCAAAAACCTAAATCATGCCTTTGACAATCTGCAGAGGGGACCTTGAGGCAAACAAAGTTAAGTAGGAAGTGGAATCACGCCATGGCAATTAAAGTCCTTTGAAATGACTTTCACTTCTCCTAAGAACCTTAAAGAAATATTATTACCCACCCCAATGCTTGTGAAGGTTTGCTGATATTACTCTTTAGGAAATATACATATAGATGGTAGTGGAAGCCTACGATTGTCTGAATCATCAAATTCCACAAGCACAACTTAGGTTTCATTTTAGTCAAAGATTTTGTTATTGTCTTTTATATGCTAAACAAAAACAGCCAGTAAGTTAACATGTTCAACCTCATGTACGTGTCCTTTCTTCCATTTTCTCCTGAGTGATTACAGGGAAAACAAACAGTGGTTGATCCACTACAGGAGGAGGAGGAAGAGGGGAGAGGGGAGAGAGGAGAGCACTGGGGTCTGCGTTCCTTTTTATTGCAATGGCAGCGCAGCACACAGGGAGTGTCTGCTCATGCAGCTGCACATAGCTACAGATCCTACTAACGTTTCAGACCCTCGTCTTCACTTCAGATTAAATCAGTGCGTCAAAGCCAGTACCGCAAAATCCTGGCTGTGGATGCAACCATTCCAGCTACTGTTACTGTCAGCTATCGAACAATACATTACAATTGCTGATTGTCCCTGAGTTAACTGTGTCTGTTTTACTGGTGATCAGCTGCTATATGACAATAATTTCTAGGACTATACTCAGTGTTATATGACAGGAAATGTTGTGGCCATAACAATGAAAAAATCAGCCCTTACTCACACAGGTCATGTGCAAGTAGTCCTTCTCATAATAAGTAAGAGTCTTTCTTCCTTTCTCATTCCTCCTCTTCTGTTTCCTCACTTTCATATTCACACAGAAATTCTTCTTGTTCCAAAACACTAAAATCAACATCAATGAGTTGTGTTTTGTTCAGCCCCAGTGTCTTCTCATACCCATTCCTGAAATAATATCCTAAAGCAATCACTTGTTGCTGCAGGGTGAAAGGCACAGCATGAAAAAGAATATCAAATGAGGACTGTGAAATCTCTGAAATTTTCAGATGTGACTGAACTAAACCATCGATACATCTTAGTCAAGTGCAGAGCTCCCCCTAATGATCCATCCATGAGCCATAAGCTTTACATCGTCCTGCATTTCCATCTGCAGATAACGAATAAGCTGCTTGCCCAGTGCTAATCATGTTTAAGATAATAATACTCTCCTTGTTCCCTCACACCTGCCAGCCTGCCAGCCCTAGGCTCCACATTAGAATGCCACTTGTCAAAGTCATCTGGGGGTGGGTCCCCAGGTCCCCCACTGAGACCCAGCTTGTGGCGCAGTGAGACTTTTCACTCTGAACCTAGCCTAGATGGAATCACCTAGTCATAAAGTGTCAGACTTTCACCGTGGACTCCGGAGACCCATTTGAAAAGTTATATTTTTGGTCCTGAATTAAAAGATTGCATTTCTCCTGCAGGCCAGCTGTTGGCTGACGCCAGTGCCAAGAAGATACTCTTGGAGGTGCATTTGTGTTTCTTTACATCACTGCTAATCCTCTTGCTGGAAACCAGCCAGGAAGCCTCACTCAGGGCTTATTTGCTTACTGATAAGGCAAGACCTTTTTACCTACTCTGTGAAGGAACACCTCAAAAACCAAGCAAATATACACAACCCTCCAAATAACAGCAGCCTCCACATCAAAGGAGAATGCGTGTCACTTTCTGAAGTTGGCAGAAACTCCTAGTCTGAGACTCAGAGTCTCAACCCAAGAATAAATAAAACATGGCTTCTACCCAGACATCTCTGTCTCTCATCTTCGCTCAAGCTGTATTCCATTCAACTCTGTAGGTCCTGGGTCCTGCACTTAGGTTCCCATATTTTATGCCCGGTCTTACAACTTGGACTTTAAATGGCCTTCAAAGTCCCCTATGCTAAGTACTTGGTCAAGCCTCTCCTGTTACTGGGAAATGGCGGAGCATTCAAGAGGTGGATCCTCATGGAAGGAAGTTAGGTCACTAGGGCTGTGCCTCGAGATCCACCCCTTCCTGTCCCTTTCTGTGTTTCCCAACTGCCAGCCTACCACACTGTACTCACCTTGCCACCAACCCAAAGTAAAGGGGCCAAAAAACTGGGGTCTGAAATCTTTGAAACCATAAGCAAAAATCTTTACTCCTTTTGAGTTGATTTTCTGAAGTATTTTCTCACAGCGCCAGAAAGCTGAGTAGTAGTAGTACCCCTAGATATCTGCACCCCAGCCCTCAGTCAGAGCACAGCACAGTAACCTGCTCTGAGACCTGCCGTGGGGATAGTTTCACTAACGCACTGACCAGGGGTAGCTCATTGCCAAATCAGCGTAACCAGAGAGAGTTCTAGTTTGTCTACACCTTCAACCTTCACATCACCAGGAGTGAGCCACACACCACGAGGGAGCTGACCCCAGAGGATCCAGAGGCTAGCATGCTGCCCAGCCCACCCTAGCCACCCTGCCACAAGCCACTGACCACAAGCCACGGCAACCATGAATTAATCAGAGATATAGCACATTGACACAGATTGGTTTATTTGGCATCTCTCCCAGGTAACATTTTAACCCAGTTAAGATGCCGGTCTACAGAAGGTTCCTAAGAAATACTTCAAATTAAATCTGATAATAGGAGGGTCAATGGGGGAAAACACTACAGCTTTAAGGGGCTTTCCAGCAGTCCCTCTAATTTCTCAATGATGGTTTCCTGCCACGTTTTCAAAATAGGACCTACTTTGTACTGTCTGGTGGATTTCTTCAAATTAGTTTCACTGAAGACCTAAAAATAGAGAACACGTAGTAACTTTAAACCTTTTTTGGAACAAAGTAGATGGTGCATAAATAAACATAAAATTTTGAGATCAATGGACCTGAACATAAACTCAAGTTCAGGACCTCAAAGAAATACAATATTTTGTTTATGTCTTTTCTGTGTCCTATTTTGCTTCTGATTGGCTTTTAAATAAATCTGTATTCACAAGATAATGCAAAGATGTTTCCTTTGGACAAATACAGTGTTGTGTTCAGCTAAGAAATTAAAAAACCCTGAGCAGACCAAGAGTTATCAAAATATCAATCACTAATTTCAAAGTGCAGACAGCTCAAGTAAAATTTTCAGGGAAAGCAGAACTTAAATTATTTTGTGAAAGAAATTTCAAGGCTACTGTTTTATCTTTCATTCTTTAAAACAGAAGCTTGCTTGGGTGTGTTTATTTTTTTAATTAAATAAATACTGTATTCAGTAGATATGCTGTTTGAGGAATACAAATCTTACATGAGACTGTAAATGCTTTGAAAATAGAAAGTACTCAACTTTTATTGTTTTCCTACAAGCCCTTAACCCAAAACTCTGATACCTCAGAATCACACTAAAATACTTATTGCCTGACCATATACATGAAGCCCTGCTTCACAGCCTATTATGACAAAGCTTGTCCTGTTTTACCTGAAGGACTTTTCCAATTAGAATGGTATAATCAGGAGTTAATCAGGCAGAACATTCATAATACTGTCTCTAATTTTACCAGGAAAAATATATTTGTTCTAAACATTAGTTTCTTAGTTTCTCTACCTTTTACAGTTCTAGAATAGGGTTTTTAAAAATTAGATGAATTTTAAAGTAATTATAAAAATGATATAAAATCTTTTTCATAAAGATGACTAGAAAGGTTTTTTTGAATGGTTTTAAATGTCTTCCCCTGAATCTTCAACTTGGGTAAAAATTTTCACTGACCCAGTCAATTTACCAAATAGTTTTCTAATTTTACCAAAAAAAAAAGCAGCAACAATAAAAATTGTTCATTGGAAATGTAATTTCAAAACCAAATAGCTAATTCAATTTCAACACCTTACATGGATACTATGAGATTATAAAATAAGCAATCATGATTACAACAGAGGCCTTAAAGCACTGACAGGTAAAATCTTAGAAATGACAGAAATTTAGAGGTCATCTAATCTAATACCTCCTTTTAATAGAAAAGGAAGCCCAGGCAGAGGAAGCTGAAATGAACAGTCTAGAGAGTCATACTGTTTAGCAACAAACCAGAGATGCATTCTGGCCTGATATGCCTCCAGCATGAAGAGTCAGTATGTTGAGTATTCTGCATTAAATTAGTGCGACCAAATGTCTTAAACTAACATCCCTCCTACTGGATTCCAGTCCTTGACAGGCTCTTAGAATAAGAATCAGTGACCACGCCCAGCTGTCTTCTAGAAATAGGAGCACTCGTTTATTCACTGATGTTTATTTCTACTTACCATAATGTGCACTTCCTAGACTATGAACTGAAAAAATGACAAAAGAAATGAGATTCCTCCCCACACCTATAGCAACTGACCTTCTCTTAGAAGAGACAAGAAATAAACATGCAAAGTAGTTAACAGACAAGAAACATAATCACACTAAACCATTAGTAGGGTATTGTCACAGGATTAGCCAAAAAACAGAACAGACAGGAGACATCACAAGATGTCCTCTGAGAAGCTGATGCTTGAAATAAGACTCAGACAAAATGTTAAGAGGAGGAGACACAGGAGAAATCAGGTAGAGTTAGACTTAATGCAGTAAAAGGCGTTTGACTAACCTGTTTTCCTCCTTAAATTCATTGCTATCAACAACTATGGGTTCTCAAAGAAGGATCATCTCAGTCCTGAACTCTAGAGGTTCCTGACACACTCCCTCCCCCAGCGCGTGCTCAAGCAAGCAGCATCTGTTCAGCATCTTCTGCACCAGGCTCCTATATTACACGTTAGTGGGCAGAGACTTAGAAGGAACTTCACAGTGTGTTTCTGGTCAGGTTTGGTACACAGGTGTAAATTAACATTCCTAGCAATTGTCAAATGCCCAGTGCCCGTGGCTGAAGGAGGAATGATTTAAAGAAGATGACCACCCTGGAAACCTTCACTGCTTTCTTGTGTAGACACAGGGTCTATCACTTCCATTGTGGCATCAGGGAAATTTTGAGCTAGCACCACAGACCTAAGAAAATGAAAACTGCGACCATTTCATGCTATCTGACAGCTAACAGGCTACACAAGCTCACACTGTCCTCACAGCATCGCTACACGGCGCTGTTGGCACCTATTGAAACAAACTCTTATACAACTTCAACAACATACCTGGATCACATCAGAAGTTAGCGCTGGCCTGAGTGTGAAGTCCGGTGGGCCTGACCGCCCAGTGTGCATTTGCATGAACATCCGCACCTCCCTGAAGAGCATTCAAGGTCAAGAGCCAGAAAGAGAAGAAGGAAAAGGAGAAAGAGGGAGAAGGGTTAGGGCTGAAGGGGGAGGAGGAGAGAGGAGAAAGAGAGAGACAGAGAAAGAGAGAGCCACAGAGAGAGAGAGAGAGAGAGAGAGAGAGAGAGAGAGAGAGAGAGAGAGAGAGAGAGAGAGAGAGAGAGAGAGAGAGAGAAAGAGAGAGAGAGAGAGAGAGAGAGAAAGAGAGAGAGAGAGAGAGAGAGAGAGAAAGAGAGAGAGAGAGAGAGAGAGAGAAAGAAACAAAGTCAAGAAAGAGAGAAAAGAAAAGAAAAAAGAAAGAGAGATTCCATTTGTGGGAGATACAGCTGTTCACTAAAATTAACACTTACCGGGTCACTGTCAGTTAGTGGCTGAGTAATTCAAGAAGGGGGATTCCTCTAATGACTGATAGCTGGACCCGAAGGAAGCCTGGCATGTTATGAGTTCCTGTAGGGGAGGATCGAGTCATCATCCTATCCCCCTGCCCCATTTAGGCAGTGTTTTCCTTGTTCAGTCACAAGTTTTAAAATAATGAATCTTCAGATTTTTGCTTTATGATATAACTATTTTATCTATACTGTCCTTTTAGTTTGCCTTTTAAACTTTTTGTTTTTCCTAGGATGGTGATATAATTTGCTAAAATCTGAACCACAGGCAATTATCAGAAAGGGTGACACCTGCTAGTGTAAATACTGTGAAAAAGAGTGCCCTGCAGTTCCTGGCAGAGTGACAGTTTGTGGCAGACTGAAGGGCATCTCTGGGCATTTGTAGAGTCTGTTCTAAACAAAATGTTCTGTCCTTGGCATGGATCTTTGAATTCAGTATAGATCCTGGTTCAAGTTTTCTTGGCCATGCCCGACATTTAGCCAAGCAGGCTGATGGCCCTACAATATGTTCTGACGTGAGGTCAGCAAGCGGGTGATATGAGAAAAGACTGGCATCACAACAGAATTTTACTTCTTGTACTTGCTCGAGATTCTCTTTTTCCTTTCTCCAAGTTTATCAACAACAGATGAAATTCCAAGGGTCACAAAAGGAATAACAACACTAATCTACCATATTAGAACATGTTTTTTAAAATAATGACAAAATGTTTACATTTTAACTTTGCACACACCAATTTACACATAAAAACTCTCAAAATCCATAATACTGAATTCTGGACTACACTGTTTCTAATATTCTGCTCAGAAAAACTCCTGAAGACTGAGACCTCATGTAGAACAGTTAATCAAGCAGATATTTAACAACATACATATGATCATTGTTATGGCTCTGAATAGTAATTGGATATTAAGACTAAATGGTTCACATAAATTATAGAAAAATGAAAAAGTCACATTATCTCTTCCTCTATATCATGGGTCCCCAAAATGCGTATCTGCAATCCATTTATACCCGGCTTATCTGGAGAGTATTTGGACATTGTAAAGTTCTGCCCCACACTCAAGAGTCAGAGCCAGTAGATCTCGGACACAAGTTTATTTGCACCATAACAAGGATCCGAAGTTCAAATGCCTTGAAGGGTGAGTAAGAAACTTTGTGTATTGGACAATGTAAGTCTATATATAAGAAAATAAATATTTCATGCAGAGGCATTTAGAACGAGAAACTTTTAATACTGTGCATCACATCTACCACCACTTTCTTACCTAGTACCTCTGGAAAATTCATCTGTTACTGAATTGAGGCTGATAGCCTGAAACCTCAGGAGACACTGACATATTGCCTGTATCTTAAGGATTACCCTTGTTGGCACCTGGTAAGTAGCACACAAAGGTATTTCCATCTGGGTACGGCCATGCCCTAGGTCAGTGTTATGCATATGCCTTCGCTCCTTTCTCCACTGAGTGAATTTTCACTGGGCACCTACTATGCGCATCCTCCAGCCTCAACACTGAAAACACAAAGCACAATTTGCAGAGGTAGATCTCATTTTAATGGCCAGAACGGTATAAAATTATTCTTTTGAATGGACATATAAAAACTGACTACTCATTGCCCGAGGGCTGGGGACATAGATTACAAGAAGATGTTTTGAAAGATATTACTCCCCCCCCCCCACATTCCAAGACCCGTTCAGAGGACAGGCTGACTTCTGAGCCCTAAAACTCTTAGAAGCAGACGTTACCTCATGCTACATGGCCTTCCGGTTCAGGGTGGCTCCCAGAGAATGGGGCTTCCAGGACACTCCACCCTGCCAGCAGCTAGGTGATGTATTTGAAATTGCCCATTCCTGGGGCTTTCTAATGAGTGACATTTATAACATGTCCTGCTTTTCCTTGCAAATGATATGGAGATTTCTTTTATCTTACACTCCACCAGCCTTACTTAGTGTTTATATGGTCAAACTCCGGAGCAAGTTACTCAATTTCATTCCAGCACTCACTATTCCGCTTCTGAAATGCAAACTCCCTTGGGTAATTCCAGGCAATTTCTTTGCCCAGAGATCATCCCTGGCCACAGAGCAGCTCAGCTGCAACCCATGCTGTGTGCACTGCATAATACTGTAACATTTTCAGAGTCAGGGAAGATTTATTCAGTGATCAACTGCTTCAGCATCCTGAATCACTCCAGAGACAGTCTGTTAAAGAAGGGACCTTGAGGGAACTGGAAATGTAAGCAAGAAGAGAAATAATCCTCTCTTTCCCTTTTAACCCCCTAAGCCCTTTAAGAAAATAACATTAGCTTTTTATATGCATGGGGGAAGATGCAATCCCCTAAAAAACAGTGAGAGCATTTATCTGCAAAAGGTGAAATTAAATGCGATTTGAGTCTGTTTTTTTATTTTTGCTTATTTATAATTTCTATAATAAACTTTAACTCTGTAGTAAGAAAAATATCTTAAGATGCATAGTAACATATTGCTCTTCAAAAAAACTTGATAAGGGAAAATAGTTGTCTTAGAAACTAGGTCAGAATCTCAAAGACCAGCACGTTACTCACGCAAATGACTGAAAAGTTAAGCAGAACCAGGAAGTAAAGGCAAAGATTGTAAATGATTGAAATCTATATAAGTCAGAATGATTTTCATTGACAATATCCACTAGGTATAGATGCAAAATTAATGTCCATTTGCTTACAAATTCAGAAATAGGTTGGAAGTGTGCTCTACTTGATTAACAAAGATGTGACCCTGGGTCACAGGCCCCACACCAAGGAAGAAAGAAAGAGAAAGGAAGCAAGCAAGCAAGCAAGCAAGCAAGCAAGAAAGAAAGAAAGAAAGAAAGAAAGAAAGAAAGAAAGAAAGAAAAAGAGGGAAGGAGGAAGAAAAGAAGAAAGAAAGAAAATTTGGAAATTCAGAAAACAATGTGTCCAATGAGTGTGAAGAAATGTACAATGCCATGTACAATCCTCTAAGACATTCTAAAGTGAATGTCTAATTTTCCATCTATGATAGAAATAGGCACGTTCCTACAGCCTTGTTCCTAACTGAATGAAAACCTTGAGGGATAAATGACATAATCTTCTGCCTCTGTACACTTTTGGAGCACAGATGTCTTCAAGGACGAAAAAAGAGCAAACTGCAACTTGGATAGTCTTCGAAGTCAAGGTCAAGGTGAGCTGTTTCTTATACACAGACCTACTTTCCTCCAATATCCTGCAGCCAGTCTATGCCCAGGTACACAACTATTTTGATATAATTCAGCTTTTTACAAAAAAAAAGTGTTACTCAGTGTCGTATTTGTCCACATGGTGGCAAGATTTTTAACATTTTTTGTCATCTGACCTCACATGTAGCAGCCATGAGCAAAGGCCCAACAAAGTGTACCTAAGAATAGACACCAAGAAAAATAACTACTAATAAGTGGGTGCAAGCAGACAAGATCCCAAAGAAGGTCACTCAACTGACTACACGGGCGAGGAGTGGCATGGTTTTCAGATGGCAATAAACCTATACATGATCCAATAAAGTCAGACAAACAGATTTATAAAGCCACTAGATGCCAGCAGCAAAATTCAGGTCAGGAAACAGCCATTCACAAACTATGGACTTTGTTTAAACTTTTAACATGAGGGATGATCATTTAGAACTTTAAAAAAGAAAGAAAAAGTCTCCCCATAAAAACAGATCAAGCATGAGCCTCTACTGTAAAGTGAGATAGGCATTAAATTTAAAGCTATTGATGGAAATTTAATTAATTATCATTTCACCAATGTAATAAAAGCACAAACAAGTAGCTTTTTTTAACGTCAAATAAAAATGGCACTCCGTGTAATTAATCATCTTTACCAAGTAAATATTAATCAGTGTCTGGTCTAATTATGACATATCCAATCAGCTCTCCTGGAAAGTTAAAACTATCAGTGTCACAGTTTTATCTTTTTCTCTTAGTAATTGTGAAGAAGCAAAATAAAAGACTTGAAATTAAAAAAAAAAAAAAAAGGAACCAGACAGACAAGGTGAGACAAGGGGAAAGATCACCATTTCCATAGAATTATTTTACCTTGACAGAATATACATTTTTCCCCAGCGCAATTTGCTCTTTAACCATCCCGTGAATCTCTCTTCCTGTGACGAGCGTCCTGCACTCTATCTCCTGATCTTGACAGATGCATCAAGGACGGCACTCAAAAATCAATGTGCCCTCTGAAACAGGATGAAATGAAGATTTTAAAGCCAGATACTTATGTTTATGTGGCTTTAGATTTTTTAATCCCTTTAAAGAAATGTTTCACCAATGTTATCAGATTTGACATTATTTTCTGTTTTTCTAATCACATCTCATAATAAATTTGAGTACCAATGCAAGATTAAAAATGTTTTGAATAGAAAAAAACAGAAAGAGAGAAGGGAGGTGTTACTTAAGAAAAATGTAAGCAGACACCAGGCTCCCTAGCATTCTACCATTCCAACTTCTATCAAGTGCTAAGACTGAAACACCTACCAGGATAATCCGCGCTCTTCTGAGTCATCTAAGACCATCACTGATGAAAATAACTGCTATCTCTTGAGATGGGTTCATGAACAACAATATAGGAATCCAAGCAGCCAAATTGATAAATTTGGAATTTAATTAACTGAGCTCAGGACCACTCGTATACAGACCCTCCTGGGTCAGGGTCCAAATAAGTGGCACCAAACTGGAAAGTAAGAGTTTTTTGTTTTGTTTTTTTTTTAATTGGTACTGGGGATCGAACTCATGACCGCCTGCTTACAAGGCAGGTGCTTATGCCGCTGAGCTAGATCCCTAACCCCAAGTTACAGAGTTTTTAAAATAGAGAATCACAAAATACATCCTGTTGGAAACAATTTAGTTCAAATCTTTCATTAATTTTCAGTTGACACTTGTATCCTGCTTCTTTTGTTGAGCAGGTTATTTCTACTGTAGGTACAGCTCATTCTGCTTTTCTCATGGGACTTATACCCTGAGTAATTTTCCATTTTCCTGAATACAAGGCACTAGTTAAATGCATCCCTTAAGATGGCATCAGTTAGGCCAAGCTACAACATCTCTCTCATCCACAAACATGTGCACGCGCATGCGTACACACACACACACACACACACACACACACACACTCTTGAAAGATGTCACCATGAACAATCCCAAAGGCTATGCATTTATTCATTTCTAAATGCTATACGATTTCACTTGAAGGACAATTAAATATGTATTTGCATTAATGAGTATACACTGGTGTGTGATGTGTGCAAGCCAGAGAAACTCTGCAGAGGTTTGTAGCCAGATTTTATTCACATCAAACCTACCCCTGAAAAACATCCTTGTTTTCTAGATCTTCCTTATAAATTTTCTATTTAATAAGAATGTGAATGCAGCATTTTCTTCTTTTTTTCTTAATTTGCCTCCAAAATAAGCAATTTTGGGGCACAATTTTGACTTAGATTCGCTATGTGGTGATTCTAACTTCCATATAAGTGTGTTAATAAATAAGACACTCCCTCGTTGGCTCTAGCGAATATCTGTAGGTTATAATCTTTACTCCTCTCGCCATTCGTCCATTTGGCACCCATCTCATCTAGCAGCCACAAACAGTCAAGCAAAACTACTCTAACCATTGTGTCTAACCAAGACACGTGGCAACATTTCACTGTTAGGGTGGCAGCACTGTAGCAGAGCCCTCGGTGACATGAAAACCATTTCACTAGCTGTCTTCTCAACTGTGACAGGCCTTAGTCAAAAAACCAGGGAGTGTGACCTGCAAATCACAGGAGCAAGAGACCCGAGGGCCGTATGTCACACAATTCCACAGCCTCCTCTGACTTCCCGTATGAGTAAAGCCCCGTCAGCAGGTTTTCTTACCCATGAGCTGCAGAAACAAGGCTCTTTCTACCCTCAGTTGTAACTTGTTTGGTCATAGAGTCAGGTGAGTTTTGCTGTGGAAATTATTTCCCTTGTGGTATCTGTCATTGTTTGAAATATGCAATTATTGATCTTCTAGGTCCACAATTCCCCAGAAAAGATCATTGATCCAATCAGAGAGCAGCGGAATCTGTGTGTGGCACTAGCAAGATTTTGCCCATCACTACACTGCCAGAAATGTGGCACTGAAGCAGGGGCCATGTCTCTCCTAGAGTGGAAATCAGTCTGTTAAGTTGCTAAGCCCCAACTCCAAGCATCACGACCTTTCATCCACGGATGCAAGCTCCAAGCTTCAAATGAGAAAATGTTGTGAAAACACTCAAATGCCAACACTGCTACACACGTGTTATTATTGCTATTGCTACTAGTAATAATGATATCAGACTCTTTGCTTTGACCTACTGGTACCAGGACTTTTTGCAAAATGTCCTGCAGGTGTAAAGAGAACTTTGGCCTTGACAGTTCAAGGCATTTGAGGTAACTGTTCCCTACATGACCTCAAAGATTTTCTAAATCCTTTCATAATTTCCAGAAGGCTTATCAAAACCCGGATTGCTGGGCCCCCCTAAATAGTTTCCAATTGAGTGAATCCAGGGTCAGGCCTCAAAATTAAATTTTGAACAAATTCTCACATGATTAAGTTCTTCCACTTTAGATTCCTATAACATAACACCTGAGGCTGAATAGCTCATAATAAAAATAGGTGTATTTGGCTTACAGTCTCAGCATGACACCTGCACCTGCTCAGCTCTGATGAAGATACGTTGAGCTGTGTCACATGTAAGATGGCATCATGGCGGGAGCACATGGATATGGGGGGAGATCACAAGAAGCCAGAGAGTGATAGTTTTTGACAGGGGACCAAGCAAAGATGGCAGATAGATAACAGCTGGCTACAAAGGCTCCCTGAGATAGTCAACTTAGAATTCAACATAATACAGTGTGGGGAGACCTGGACAGAGGGAGATGAATTCTCTTATCACAAGAAGAAACTAAGGGGAGAAGAACCAACCAAACATACTGTCCCAGTGCTATTATTGGAACAGCTAAAGGTTCAGTACTCCTGCCACAGTGGGTAATTTGCTGAGCCATCTGAGGTCCCACCAGTTCAACTCACTGGAGGCGCAGTCACACTGAGGTCAGGGTCAGCCAGCGGAATGGAGAGCTGAGCTGGTGAGGAGGCTGCATTGACCTGTGGTGAGTGACGGGAGTGGAGCATTCCATAGAAAGGGGGGCTCCGGCAGATGACATTCTGAGACCAGGCAGGACTGACAAGTACAAAAGGCAGCAGTGACTTCAGTCAGCTGTTCTCTTCCTGAATGGGACTGGTGGAGTGAGCTAGGCCTGGGTCATGCAATGTAGCTAAGAGCCAATAGGTTATACTAATTCAATTCCCTATAGCAGCTGTGCACACGAACCACACTAACGCAGTGAAGCCTCAGAAGTTTGACTGATCTGGAGGGGAAGGGCCGGCATATGTTGCCCTGTCTGCAGTTCACTAGCACAGTGCAGTGGTGCTTCAGAAGAATTGTAACCAACAAAGAAAGAAACTGGGGCCTCCTGGAAGAAACAAAAAAGATGGGAAGAGGAAGCAACAATAAAAAGTCCCCAGGTTCCAACCCTGAAAACATTGACCCAGGACAGGTAAATAAAAAGGACAATGAGAACAGCAAACATGTAATATCAGACACAGCACCAGTGGACATAAGGAGATATCCTCAGGACCTCATAGACGAGTTCAAAAGTGAAATATTTAGCCAAGTAAAGCAAGACATAAGAATATTAATAAAAGAGATGCTAAGCCCCCTCAAGCAGACACAGATGGAAGAATGGAGGAACTCAAACAAAGGAGAGAACCATTTGATGAAGAATATAAAGAAAATATAGACTACATGAAGCAGATTCAAAGAGATTATCAGGAAATTAAAAACTCTATGGAAAGATGGCAAGTCTGCTTGAAAGAAACTAAGAATAGATTATCCAAACTGGAGGACAGTTTTGCAATGTGGGGTTATGAAAGGAAAAACTTTTTTAAAATAACAAGGAAGCAAGCAGTAACAATACAAAGGCTAGAAGACGACAAGAGGATCTATAACTTAAGAATAAAGAATGTGAATGAAGAAGCAGGCTGCCCCCCCCCCAATTTAAAACCAAAGGTCTTGGTAAGACCCAAAAACTGTACAGTGTACCCTGGGGAATTGAAAGGGGAGGGAGAGTCTTTAAAAAGATGGCAGAAGATATTGTTAATAGTGTATCAGGATTTAAAACCCACAGTACTCGCACCACTCTGCTTAGAGAGATTTTATTCATTTTTTAAGATTTTATTCTGTCCCAATTTGTCTACTTGCATTAGATTTGAGGGCACAGAAAGCTATCCCCAAAACATCAAGATATAGCACAGTAATCATCTTTAATTTCCTATTATCTTAATCTAGCACCCTGTATGACTTATGCTGTTTTATCGTGACTGATCTTAGTTAAATCCAATTTGTTTGATCAGTTTGATATTGACAGATTTTATTCAAAACTGATATGATTGATAGTATCAAGTCTGAGAGTATAGGCAACTACACTGAAGATGACAAGACTCTATGATACATATTCTGGTTTGATAACTGCCTGTTTTTGAAGTTTTATATTATATACAAAGTTCTGTTTTTATTAATACTGTTATGTACTGATATATTCAATTATACTATGTCTGATATATAGCCAATTCTATTGAAGATAACGAGACAACACAGGAACTATGGTAGAACTCCTTGTACAACGGTCTTATATGTCTTTTTTGTTTCATGTGTTTATAGGAATATGTTTTGTTTTGTCTTGCTTTGTTTTGTTTCTCCCTCTAATATAGAAAGGATAGAAATACATGTCAAGACTCATGCTTGTAGAATCTATAGACAGTTTGAGAACTGATCTCATGACACATGATGAAACTAACAAATACTTTGAAGAAAAAGAGACACTACAATACCCAGTGCTGATCCTGGAGGGTCATAATATAAAACCCAGCAACAGTATCATTCTTTGTTCAGAGTGATATTAGCCTGCTTGGGTTTGTTCAATCTCAACATAATTGAAGATATGGATAACTGCTTATATGTTTAAGTGTATAAGGTTGATAAAAATATTTCTAAGCTTTTGTTGGATAGTTGAACAGAACTGGTTGCAGTCTTACTGTTTGAATCCCCACTTTATATGCTCCACTTTAGTATCTTGAATAACTATTTGTAAGAGGACAAATCTGTAATCATCAACTAGT